AAATAACATATAAGAGTGATAATAGTTTTAACTACTTACTAAAAATAGAAGCGAATAATTAGGAAGAAGTCTAAATTCATTGTCGAATAACAAACTGAACAAGCCTTTTATGTACACAAACATCTGAGTTATGCTGACAAATCACCAGCGCTTCTACGATTCACAAGTATCGAAACATAACTCCTCTTGCAGAGGATAATATTAAGTAAACACTCCATTGACGCTGTCTTACGTGATTTTACCAGATACTTGAAAACTAGGTGTATAACTGAGTTGCATTCACTTTTGATAACCATGAAGGATCATATTCTGACGTGAATTTGAGAAATGTGTACACTTCTGAGTAATTGTACTAACTATGTCATGCTACTTATATTACTACCAGTCTGAAATTAATTGGTGAATGATGACTGGCAGTTAAATCCAGGATAGGCATTTCATTCGCGTCAAGTAGATTTACTTGCATTCTCTAATGTCACTTACTTTACCTCGGCTATCTCCTACGGGAGGATGAGCCGGTTTCATGAACAAGAGAGTTCATGAAGTTTCATGGGAATTTGATACGAGTGATGTCCCCATAATCGCTCAGCCTTTTGTTTGAGAGTGCAGCTCTAGCCTTTACACAACCAAGTGTGACCTACAAGGCAGTAGGAGTGGAGTAAGGAGTCCACTATCCATTGGCAGCCGGTGACCGGAGTCCGGTTCATTCGCCTTTTTGAATGGGGCCAGACATCCAGGACATCCAACAAGCTCTTTGTCCATACGTCTGCCGGTGAGCTCCGGTGAGCTTTATACGCCAGTCGTTGGAGGTTTGGAATCAGGGTTTAGCCATCTCCCCTAGACTGTCATCCAATGCACAGTCAACCCGGTGAAGAGCGCTGGGTATCCGCCGGGTATCTCTAATGTCAACCTGAGGTCAAGCACTTCAATCCACATTGAATTAAAGATAACAATTGACACTTGTAGCACAAAAGAGGTCATAGCTCTCATGGCCCAAGTGGTTGAATGAGTCATCATCATCACCATCAGAAGTCCTTCATATCATGTGGAGTCCAAATTGTCTGAATAGGAATGAATTGTGGACTAAAACAGAATTTGACCTGGTTACAACACCTCCCTCCTCCAAGAAATGAGAAAATCAACACAAATGTAGGATAAGCAATTTCATAGTGTAAACACACACCAAAATCGTCTGGAGAAAACTACTCATGTACCCCAGACAGAAGCAGATGGAGTGGGATTCCGACACACAAATGTATTACGAAACAGCTACTGGCAGCTACAGAGATATGTACTGCTTCGATTCATGTTTTACAGGATGCCGTTTTCAGAACTGTTAGGAGCTCAATTGCCCTTCCCCCACCAAAAAGATTGATCCTGAATAATCTCTCATAGATTGTTAGAGGACAAACTAGAGGGCTTTCATGATTTCTGTCTGTCTGGATTCAGCATAGAACTTGGCACCGAAGTGCACCAGTTCGAGTTGCCACCTTCCAAATAGCACATAGAGGTAGACAAGAAGATGAGTGAAGAGAATTAATACAGTCTGACAAGTATAAAAGTGAAACAGAATAATGGGTAATGGTAGAAAGGAATATGAAAGATTACAGAGACTGAATACATCTGCGCCATTGACAACGATTTTGAGCCATGTCACCTATTGTCTCCAGCCATTGATTTGCCTAAATGTTTTGAAAAGACAAACACCTGATCTATTCAGAGATCCCAGTATATCCCCGCTGTGGCCTCATGATCCGAATAAGGTAGGTAACTGGCCATCGAGGAATATCTACAAGACGAAGATCAAAGGCTGTTTTAACGTCAATTTATTTATTTATTTAAACGCATAGAAACTTGGTACAATGTAGTACCAAGAAGGATGCGCCACACAATGATAATAAAACAACATAGATCAAAAGAAAAAAAGAAAGAAGAGAAATATATATATATATATATATAAGTAGAGAACGGATAAAGAACTTCATCTGGAAGGAAAACAGTCATGCTTAACAAGTTCAAACAGTATTCGGGAAGGGAAGAAAGAAGGAAATTGCAACACGTGTAATAGCACGCGATAAGTTTCATTGATCATTTGTTGCTTTAGCCAATTCATTGTGTGAGGGCTGAAATACTACCCGGGCGCCCAGACCGAAGCAGGTGGTTTTATTAAGGGACCACCCCCGGAGCCTTTAACTTGGAGCCTAATCCGCAAGGCAGCGGAGCAGCGTCAGGAGCTGCATTCTAATCGTTTCCGGTGACCCATATGGGTTCATACGCAATTCGATCCGACTGGATACTGGAGCCCATGTACCCCATGGTAACTGCTTTTAGTTTAACCACTATCCAAACAATCTTCCTGACATGGTAGGACCTGCAGGGGCAGAATCCCAGTCAGTTTAGCATGTTGGGTAATTACGGTATTCAAGCCCGGCCACCACGACAAGGTAGCAGTTATCGGCCGGGAACGTTAATATAATAAAAACATCACACAAATTATAATTTACAAAAGACACTAAATTCGCAACAGCTATATGACAATGCATCGGTGGCACAGCGATAGACTGCTGGCCAACCACGCCACATGTGGTCCGGAGTTCGATTTCCGGCCACTGACGCACGCCTTTACCTCGCTAAGCCGGTATTAAAACTGGTAAAGACGGAAGGTTAGGCTGGACATGAGGCTAGTAACCCAATCCTGTAAAAATAATCACCAATGCTACAGAAACTTCAAGCCTCTAGCCTGAAGGCGCTCTATGTTCCCCTGGGAACGTAAAGGAATAAAAAAACATCATGAAATTTGATACGTGTTTAAACTGAGTAGGTGTTCTATCCAAATTATCCTCAGCATTCAGAGAATTACTTTTAACAGACTCTACTGTACACCTTTATCAACACTTTCCTTGACTTAACACGGAAGGTCACCACAGGCAGAAACTATAAACGCCCGCCCATATGGGCACTGCAAGTGGTAAGACATCGTCATTGAAAGTGGAAGACATGAAAAGCCTGACTAACTGTCTTTAATTATAGGTATCTGCGTTCTATCTCCCGTGTGATATGGTATAATAAGGTGAGTAATATTGACGTTAGGCGTCGGTCGAGTGCTAGGTGAGGAGGGGAAATCAGTCAATTAGGCTGTGAAGTTACATCGATTGACGCGATGGCTAGGACACGTGTTACGCATGCATTTCTCACCGTCGCCTACCCGACAGGTAATATAAGCTGACATAGGGTCAGGTTGAAAAAGAGTTAGCCAGTGATGGTTGAACCAAAACACGGCCTCCTTAGTCAATGAAATCCATAAAAGTTAAAGTCAGCCAGCCATCTACGTAGGAGGTGAAGATTTCCTGACTGGTTGGCTTCCTCGGGATAGTGCAAACCAACGAAAGCTCGAGACAACTGGTGATTTGGCTCGAAATCGTCGTTCTCGGTGGTGGATGGCACAGATGCATTCACTCTTTGTGATTTATAATATCCAATGAAACTAAATCGTTCTTCCACATTACCATTCTTTTCCCCCACTCAAACTTCTGTTGACCATCTTTCTTTGGAATCTCTCTTTACTACCTTCTCTTGATTTGTGTGCTACATGGAGGGAGTGTGGCAACTGGAACTGCTGTACATCTGTGCAAAGCTCTTTGTTGAAACTACTTAACCTAACCTATGGCAAATATGAAACTCTGGCGGGAAACAAGCCTAAAACTTCCTTTCCACAAACATGCTGAAGGAAATACAGATGGATTGAGCATATGCTCTGAGAAGACCTTCAAAGGGGAATAACACGCCAGGCCCCCTGAGTTGAACCTGGATGAGAAGCAATGGAATGAGCATGTGTCTGACATAAAGGTCATTTGAAGAGGAAATGAAACCTTGTGAGAAGTCAATCGTGGAACCACAGGAAACTGATAACGAGGAATACATGGGTGGATGTCACACAAAATCTAGGACTTACAAGCGAAAACCGACAAATTGGTCGAAGAAGCAGCCGGCGAAGACAGGACTCCAAGTGAACATAGACAAGACGGAAGTGACGAAAATAACCAACCAACTACATCCAGTGCCAATCACCACCAACGGGAGGAACTTAAAAGAGGTTAACTTCATTCACTTATCTAGGGAGCATTGTCTCAACTACACGAAGTCGGAACGGACGAGCGAGAATCATCGGGAAGGCAGGCGAGAAACACATTCATCAGCCTGAAACCAATCTGGAAATCTTCCGCTGTCACTCAGCATCAACAACAAAATCCGGTCGAATTTTCAATACAAACGTCAAGTCAGTCAGCTGTTCTATACGGATCAGAAACTTGGCGGGTGGGTCACAAAGAATATTTCCAACAGCCTGTTGCAGACCTTTATCAACCAACAACTGTATTCGCTGACTCTATACTGAAGATGAGATGGCCGGGCGGGAAAGAATCACCAACAAGAAACTATGGGAACAAACAAACAAAACAAGAACCAATCGCCAACCAACAAATATGCAGGAGAAAGTGGAGATGGATTGGACACTCGTTGAGGAGGTTGGTTACTTCGCGCGTCAAGCCCTCGAGTGGAACCAGGCCGAAAGGAAAGCGGCGAGTGGGACGTCAGTTCAAGGATGACATGGAGGAGATCGTGTGAATAGGAGTTGAAACATTATGGACTAACATGGATTCAGGTGAAAAGTACAGCAGAAGGAAGACAGAAGCAAGTGGAGACAAGCAGTTGAAGCCCTATGTTCTACTAGGAACCCAAGGGAACAATAATCATAATAATTGATGGTAAAACAATAACTTTTCGAGTACATGCACCACCTAACTTTTAGAAGCTGAGCTGTTCATGTTATACAAAGTTGACTCGAACACTAAACGAAAAATACCCTGCTTAAAAATCAATTACCTACATGCATAATACACACATTCCAGTATTACGTAATCCAAGAGTAACATGAACAACAACAACAAAAAAGAGGTATTAATTGATAAATTAAAAAAAATAAAAATAAAAATTCCACTTACTTAACAAGACATCTAACGATTCATTTTGTCCAATAGGTGATATATTAATATTCTGTGGAAAATTGACCAGCTCAACATCTTTGAAAATATGCGGTAACAGTGTAGCGAATATACGACAAAATAAGCTGATAAACTGTCGTTTCTCTTCTAACTTTGACGCGTTAAACACCCATGTCTAGAAATAATAATAAAAAGAGAATAAAATAAAAATTAATTTTGATGGAAAAATAAGAGTGCATATCGATGTGTTTCAAAATATGAAGAGAAAGCAGACACAAGCATATCTCACCGAAAACACGGAACAGGGTGATTTGATGAAAAGGCCTTCGACAGTGTCGATTGTGAAGTGATCTGGAAACTTCTCCCACACTACGGAATGCCCGAACTGATTGACTCCTGACCGATAGCTGCTACTTTGACTTGGTGGTCGGACTTACATATTATTTTATTATGCTTTTCTTGTACTTTCTTCTCTGGCTTTGTGTGCTACATGGAGTGTGGTGACTTGAACTGCCGCACGTATGTGCAAAGTTCTATGTCGAAAACAGACAGACAGACTATTGTTCCTGTAGGTCCCACCATACCAACACGGTTGTTAGGATAGCGACTAGGCTAAAAGCAGTTACCGGAATAGTGTAAGAACTTTTCTTATCTACACTATGCTGGGGTCTGTGGGAGAAGTCGTACTGCCACTGGGGAACAGGGATGTAACAGCCACAGTAAGGTGTTTCTCTCAAATGACCAGCATGCCAGTCAGCTATGCAGTCTATCAACTCGGAGAGAGGGGTTAGAAAAGGTCGACCCCAAAAATTGTACATCCCGACTTACCACACCTACGGTGGTCCGTAATCGGTGGTAAGTTTACTAATACAGAACCAATCCAAGAAACTAGTTCATACAGGCCGTGTGTGACCGGCCGGCCTCAAGCAGTTGTCCCCTGGGCTGTGTGGTCACGTAACATTAACCTCTCTTTCCACGGTGTGGGCAACTGGGAAGTAACAATCGCCAACACATTTCCAAAAGCACACGAAGCCTTCCTGAGCATTTTTCTCCAATAGCAAGGAATCCCCCAAACCTTTATCAACTTCACTCAACAATTACATACCGAGTGATTCACAAAAGAAAGCTTAGCCAAGACTTTGAAGCAAAGACAGGAGTAAGACAAAGGCTGTCTGCCTACTATCACCGGTGATACTTCTGATCGTGGTGGATTCGATTTATGCGACAGGCTGCAGGAGCTACAGGACTGGCATGCATTGGATAGACAAGAAGACTACAAGACCTGGGGTTTGCAAACGATTTTTATCTAATGTCATATAAACTTGCAGATATACAGGCGGAAATCAACAAGTTGGAAGCAGAAGCAGTGATGAGAGAGAGAGCTTCAAATAAACACAGAGTAGTCTGTTTGTCTGTCTGGATTCAGCATAGAACTTGGCACCGAAGTGCACCAGTTCGAGTTGCCACCTTCCAAATAGCACACAAAGGTAGACAAGAAGATGAGTGAAGAGAATCAATACAGTCTGACAAGTATAAGAGTGAAACAGAATAATGGGTAATGGTAGAAAGGAATATGAAAGATTAAAGAGACTGAATACATCTGCGCTGGCCATTGACAACGATTTTGAGCCGTGTCACCTATTGTCTCCAGCCATTGATTCCTGGAGTCCCGAGGGCCCCAACCCGGAAGTCTGCATCTCCCTACCTGACTCAGTTTAACTGTCAAGGATTTCATGGATTGATGAGGCCATGTTTTTGTTTGGCCACCACAGAGTAGACACCCGAACATCAATATTAACAAGCACTGAGTACCACTAATGCAAGAAATCTGAAGGAGGTCACTTTCTACACTTATTTAGGCAGCATCGTTTCTACTGGTGGGGATCAATGAGGACGTCAAAGGCAAAGTTTCAGAAAGGCAAAACAGAACTTCATTTCCAACAGGTTGATGTAAATTTTCATCGACAGCTGTCTTAAGTCCATATTAAAGAACAGATGACCTACAGGAAAGAACAGCCAACAGGTTGTGGTCCTCGGGACGGTAAAAATCTATGGTTGGAAACAATTGGTGACATGGCTCAAAATCGTTCTCAGTGGCCAGCGCAGATGCATCCACTCCTTGTGACTTATGATTTCCAATGAAACTATATTGTTCTTCGCTATTACTATTGCTTTGTCTCACATCTCTGTCTACTGTCTCTATTATGCTTTTCTTGTACTTTCTTCTCTGGCTTTGTGTGCTACATGGAGTGTGGTGACTTGAACTGCCGCACGTATGTGCAAAGTTCTATGTCGAAAACAGACAGACAGACTATTGTTCCTGTAGGTCCCACCATACCAACACGGTTGTTAGGATAGCGACTAGGCTAACAGCAGTTACCGGAATAGTGTAAGAATTTTTCTTATCTACACTATGCTGGGGGTCTGTGGGAGAAGTCGTACTGCCACTGGGGAACAGGGAAGTAACAGCCACAGTAAGGTGTTTCTCTCAAATGACCAGCATGCCAGTCAGCTATGCAGTCTATCAACTACGGAGAGAGGGGGTTAGAAAAGGTCGACCCCGAAAATTGTACATCCCGACTTACCACACCTACGGTGGTCCGTAACCGGTGGTAAGTTTACTAATACAGAACCAATCCAAGAAACTAGTTCATACAGGCCGTGTGCGACCGGCCGGCCTCAAGCAGTTGTCCCCTGGGCTGTGTGGTCACGCAACATTAACCTCTCTTTCCACGGTGTGGGCAACTGGGAAGTAACAATCGCCGACACATTTCCAAAAGCACACGAAGCCTTCCTGAGCATTTTTCTCCAATAGCAAGGAATCCCCCAAACCTTTATCAACTTCACTCAACAATTACATACCGAGTGATTCACAAAAGAAAACTCAGCCAAGACTTTGAAGCAAAGACAGGAGTAAGACAAGGGCTGTCTGTCTACTATCACCGATGATACTTCTGGTCGTGGTGGATTCGATTTATGCGACAGGCTGCAAGGAGCTACAGGACTGGCATGCACTGGATAGACAAGAAGACTACAAGACCTGGGGTTTGTAAACGATTTGTATCTAATGTCATATAAACTTGCAGATATGCAGGCGGAAATCACCAAGTTGGAAGCAGAAGCAGTGATGAGAGAGAGAGAGCTTCAAATAAACACAGAGTAGTCTGTTTGTCTGTCTGGATTCAGCATAGAACTTGGCACCGAAGTGCACCAGTTCGAGTTGCCACCTTCCAAATAGCACACAAAGGTAGACAAGAAGATGAGTGAAGAGAATCAATACAGTCTGACAAGTATAAGAGTGAAACAGAATAATGGGTAATGGTAGAAAGGAATATGAAAGATTAAAGAGACTGAATACATCTGCGCTGGCCATTGACAACGATTTTGAGCCGTGTCACCTATTGTCTCCAGCCATTGATTCCTGGAGTCCCGAGGGCCCCAACCCGGAAGTCTGCATCTCCCTACCTGACTCAGTTTAACTGTCAAGGATTTCATGGATTGATGAGGCCATGTTTTTGTTTGGCCACCACAGAGTAGACACCCGAACATCAATATTAACAAGCACTGAGTACCACTAATGCAAGAAATCTGAAGGAGGTCACTTTCTACACTTATTTAGGCAGCATCGTTTCTACTGGTGGGGATCAATGAGGACGTCAAAGGCAAAGTTTCAGAAAGGCAAAACAGAACTTCATTTCCAACAGGTTGATGTAAATTTTCATCGACAGCTGTCTTAAGTCCATATTAAAGAACAGATGACCTACAGGAAAGAACAGCCAACAGGGTTGTGGTCCTCGGGACGGTAAAAATCTATGGTTGGAAACAATTGGTGACATGGCTCAAAATCGTTCTCAGTGGCCAGCGCAGATGCATCCACTCCTTGTGACTTATGATTTCCAATGAAACTATATTGTTCTTCGCTATTACTATTGCTTTGTCTCACATCTCTGTCTACTGTCTCTATTATGCTTTTCTTGTACTTTCTTCTCTGGCTTTGTGTGCTACATGGAGTGTGGTGACTTGAACTGCCGCACGTATGTGCAAAGTTCTATGTCGAAAACAGACAGACAGACTATTGTTCCTGTAGGTCCCACCATACCAACACGGTTGTTAGGATAGCGACTAGGCTAACAGCAGTTACCGGAATAGTGTAAGAATTTTTCTTATCTACACTATGCTGGGGGTCTGTGGGAGAAGTCGTACTGCCACTGGGGAACAGGGAAGTAACAGCCACAGTAAGGTGTTTCTCTCAAATGACCAGCATGCCAGTCAGCTATGCAGTCTATCAACTACGGAGAGAGGGGGTTAGAAAAGGTCGACCCCGAAAATTGTACATCCCGACTTACCACACCTACGGTGGTCCGTAACCGGTGGTAAGTTTACTAATACAGAACCAATCCAAGAAACTAGTTCATACAGGCCGTGTGCGACCGGCCGGCCTCAAGCAGTTGTCCCCTGGGCTGTGTGGTCACGCAACATTAACCTCTCTTTCCACGGTGTGGGCAACTGGGAAGTAACAATCGCCGACACATTTCCAAAAGCACACGAAGCCTTCCTGAGCATTTTTCTCCAATAGCAAGGAATCCCCCAAACCTTTATCAACTTCACTCAACAATTACATACCGAGTGATTCACAAAAGAAAACTCAGCCAAGACTTTGAAGCAAAGACAGGAGTAAGACAAGGGCTGTCTGTCTACTATCACCGATGATACTTCTGGTCGTGGTGGATTCGATTTATGCGACAGGCTGCAAGGAGCTACAGGACTGGCATGCACTGGATAGACAAGAAGACTACAAGACCTGGGGTTTGTAAACGATTTGTATCTAATGTCATATAAACTTGCAGATATGCAGGCGGAAATCACCAAGTTGGAAGCAGAAGCAGTGATGAGAGAGAGAGAGCTTCAAATAAACACAGAGTAGTCTGTTTGTCTGTCTGGATTCAGCATAGAACTTGGCACCGAAGTGCACCAGTTCGAGTTGCCACCTTCCAAATAGCACACAAAGGTAGACAAGAAGATGAGTGAAGAGAATCAATACAGTCTGACAAGTATAAGAGTGAAACAGAATAATGGGTAATGGTAGAAAGGAATATGAAAGATTAAAGAGACTGAATACATCTGCGCTGGCCATTGACAACGATTTTGAGCCGTGTCACCTATTGTCTCCAGCCATTGATTCCTGGAGTCCCGAGGGCCCCAACCCGGAAGTCTGCATCTCCCTACCTGACTCAGTTTAACTGTCAAGGATTTCATGGATTGATGAGGCCATGTTTTTGTTTGGCCACCACAGAGTAGACACCCGAACATCAATATTAACAAGCACTGAGTACCACTAATGCAAGAAATCTGAAGGAGGTCACTTTCTACACTTATTTAGGCAGCATCGTTTCTACTGGTGGGGATCAATGAGGACGTCAAAGGCAAAGTTTCAGAAAGGCAAAACAGAACTTCATTTCCAACAGGTTGATGTAAATTTTCATCGACAGCTGTCTTAAGTCCATATTAAAGAACAGATGACCTACAGGAAAGAACAGCCAACAGGGTTGTGGTCCTCGGGATGGTAAAAATCAATGGTATGAAACAATTGGGGACATGGCTCAAAATCGTCCTCAGTGGCCAGCGCAGATGCATCCACTCCTTGTGACTTATGATTTCCAATGAAACTATATTGTTCTTCGCTATTACTATTGCTTTGTCTCACATCTCTGTTTGCTGTCTCTATTATGCTTTTCTTGTACTTTCTTCTCTGGCTTTGTGTGCTACATAGAGTGTGGCGATTTGAACTGCCACACATCGGTGCAAAGTTCTATGTCGAAAACAGACAGACAAAGGTAGACAACAGAAGAGATTGAAAAGAACCCGAAGAAGCAGAAATGTACGGGAGAAATAATAGTCACATGGAACAAACATGATGATATCAACTAGACCTATTATGTTAGGGCTGACGTGACGTACTACTCAGTTGCTCAAGCTGGTATAGGTGGAGCTTTAATCAAACACTAGGCCAAATGGTTGAAAGTTGAACGATTAAGTTAATGAGCCAAGAGACTTCCCAATATGAGTCCTGGAGAAGCCTGGCAACAAACTTAGTCTCAAGCAGAAATACTGGAGACAGCTGGTGGTAACCTGCAGTCAAACTATAGTAAAAGGCCAGATTTTCGGAAGATGACTGATCTCACAGAAGGCTGGAAAGATGACAATCATGAAGACGAGCTTTGCTTTAAAGCCGTCGCAACTACCATGAACCTCAATGGATGACGAAAGATAAAGAAATATACACGGCACTGTTTTTTATTCCTTTATGTTCCCAGTGGAACAAGGGGCGCCTACAAGCTAGAGTCTTGAAGTTTCTGTAGCAGTGGTGATTATTTTTACAGGATGTGGCTGCTAGCCTCATGCCCAGCCTAACCGTCCCTCTATACCAGTCTTACTACCGGCTTAGCGAGGTAAAGGAGAGCGTCTGTGGACAGGAATTCAACCCCGAACCACATGCATGGTCGGCGAACACTCTACGGCTGTCCCAACGACGCACCAGACAAGTGACTACTACTAAATAATGCCTACCAACTGAATAAGCTTCATAAGCAAGTTTTGCAAAGGCTGTGGTAGGTAAAACGAACACCAAGAAGAATTAAGATTCGATAACTCTTCAAGAGAACCGAATACAATGTTGGGTAAAACACCTTAAGTAAGTAGTTCAACCTACTTACAACTATTATTCTACCTTATTTAAAACTGGAACCTGGTATAAGGTAGGCACACAGATATGTATCACCCTCGCATGAGTATCAGGCTGATGTACTCCCAAACCTCGCTTAGCACTTTATAAACCCTACAAAAAGAGAAGGTTGGGTGTAAGGCTAGCAAATATACCCCGTAAAAATAAACCCACCGCTGGGTGAAACTTCAAACCTCAAACTTGCAACGCAAAAGAATTATTTAATGAATTATTATCGCATGAGTATTGGAATACTGCTGTGGAACAGACCGAAGCAGATAGATGCCTTGAAGAACCACTTCTTGGGCATTTGACTTGAAATCCGATACCTTCCCCACCCTCGCAGAAAAACAGTACGACAACACAAGGAGAGGCGTTTCAAAGGTTGCCAGTGGTCAAGACCGGTTCATACACTATTCGTTTCCTCCGAATCTTGTAGCATAAGCGCCGCATAGGTTTAAAACTGGAGTTCTTTAACTCACTGAGGTGGACGCCTTTTGACAATTTCGGCCACCTAGGTATCTCTTGGAAGGTCAGCTATATGGAAATACTGAACACTATAAAAAATATCTGTTGCGAATGGACAAAGTAAACTTCCTAGACTAACACCACTAAACAAAGACTTGTCAAATGATGTAACATAAATCCTAACACGACATTACTGGGAATCAAGTATACTACCTTCTTAAGGAGAGAAAGTCAATAAAAAAACACTGCATCACAAACATCTAGATTGCAGGAGTAACCCATGAATCAAAAGATACAATTAATATTGAAGGCGGGTAGGTGTATCTAGCATTGTCTGTTTCGACATAGAACTTTGCACAAATGTGCAGAAGTTCAAGTCGCCACATTCCGTGTAGCACGCGAAGCAAGAGAAGAAAGTACAAGAAAGCATAATAGAAACAGTGAGCAGAGGTGTGAGACAAAGGAGTAATAAAGAAATACAAAACAGTTTCATTGAAGATCTAAGTCACAGGGGGTGGATGCATCTACGCCACTGAGAACGATTTTGAGCCATGTCACCAATTGTTTCCAACCATTGGTTTTTACCGTCCCGAGGACCCCAGCCTGGAAGTCTACACCTTCCTACGTGGCTTAGACCAACTGTTGTGGATTTCATTGACTGGTGAGGCCAAGTTTTGTTTGACCGCCGCTAGCTTTTTTCCAGCCTGACCCTATACTGCTAACATTGCCCGTTAGTCGAGGAAGGCGATGACTAGGCGTGCATACGTAACCCATGTCCTAACCATCTCAGTCTTTGTAACTTCACGACTTCGTCGATTGATTTCCCCCGTTTACCTAGAACTCGACGCTTAACCTCCATGTTGCTCACCTATTATGCCACTTTACACGGAAATAGAACGCAGGCACCTATGACCAAAGACAGCTAGTCTAGCATTAAGGTCACTTAAAACCCAGTCGAGAAATCTGCAGGTTCGCCTGAAACTATGTGAGTCTCTCGAATGTTATTCTCTAAGCCTCGCACGACCATAAGGTCTACGGTCTCAAAAGCTATGATCAAAACGGGCACCACAAATTGATACATGTCAATATATTACACGTATTTTTCAATAACTGAGGGAGTTATAAACTACAGAGGTGGTCACCCAAAATCCTTTAAAGTGAACTTAATTAGCGAATCGGAGTGGAGGGTTACCAAAACTGGTGGGTTCACTAAGAAATTGTATTTTAAAACATATAGGTACATTAATTTACACAGCATAATTCTCTATGCGCATCGGCAAGCAAGCACCAGCTCCTACGAACTAGACGGAATAACACTTCCATCAGTTCAGATTCACTTGGACTTAGGTGACGTAGTTAGCTACGACTTAAAAGCTACAGTACACTGTCGCGCGGTGGCTGCACGTAGTTTCAGGTCCTTATGGGCAATTCGTAGAGCCTTTACTAGAATCACCAGAGATATGTTCACCTCCTTATTTGCATCTCTGGTGAGGTCAAGACTCGGAAACTGCATCCAGGCCGCCAGTCCTTGTCTAAGAGGGGACTCACATTCTAGAAAGGGTTCAAAGGACGGCAACACGTATGGTTCACGGCATGACTAACTTATACGAGGAAACATTAAAGAGTTTAAAACTCTTCTCCCTGTCATACCGTAAGCAGAGAGGAGATTTAATCACAATGTTTAAATTTTTAAATAATGTCTACGGACCTGACCTGTTCTCTTTTTTCCCTCCAAACAGGTCGGAAAACATTAGAGGACATAGGAGAGTTCAATAGCCAAGAAGAAATCATATTGCTGTTGAGTACTGGTTGTCACAGTCATAAACAATTGGAACCGACTCCCAGAAGAAGTGGTGTCTGCAACCACAACTAATTAGTTCAAGAAAGGTTTGGACAACCACAGAAATTTACTAGAAAAGGATTAACATAGGCTCAAAGCCTCCTATCCTCAACAAATAAATCTGAATCTAAATCTGAACATTGATGATAAGTATTGAGGTTGGTACATATGGCTAGAGGTTATTTGGAAGCATTGTGACTCAATGGTCTGTGCTAAAAGCAAATACCACAACTTCAAATGCCTCGAATGTTCTGTAACCCTATAACACACCTTACAGTGTTTTCAATCCCACTAAACTAGTCGTGTTCAGGAGCATGACATGTGAAAATGTTTACAATATATTACCTACTCAACCACTGAAGTACTCAACAAGAAATACTTAGAAGACATGTTAATAATAGAAATAACAAGTTAGCTATCAAAATCAACTAACTTTATTTTCTGTAACAATCTGCAACTCATAACTGGGTTGAGTCTTTGTATCCCTGCAGTCAATTTTCCTTATATTCTTAACATTGCAAAGCAATACTTTTTTGATTTCATTTTTTTCAGTAACTTTAATCAAATATACTTGAATACTAGTTGGTTTTGTTAATGAAACTAAATCATATTAGTAATACGCTACATAATATACTTGTAAAGGCTATATGCTTCTGTTTATGCCTGCTTTGATGGCCAGATACAACTCTCATAGACGCTCCAACACGTTCATCTATAGGATAAAATGTTTTTGAGAGCTGTGTAGACAAATTTTCAGTCATAATTTATCATTTAGACAGTTTTAGCGCCAAAGTAAACAAATCGAATTGCCTCGTAATTTTATAATTAATAAAAACAAGCTCTCATCTTGAATAATAAAAAATGGATATTTTTCAGGAAAAATTTAATTTTTATTTAAAAAATTGAAGAAATAATGTATATTCGGTATAATTTGTAGCGCAGCCATCTTTATACAAAAACTTAAATCTGATTGGCTGCCTGCCTCTTTGACCTGCCTATGTTAGATTGATTGCAACGGTCTGCTTTAGCCATTGCTATCTTGTTTCCGTATGCAGCCTTCCCTATCTAGTCTGCAATAGAGGCTTGTATTAGCTTTGCTATCCGATAGAGATTTGCTTACGCCTAGCCATCCTTTGTATTGTATTGACGGGTAAGTCTGCGCCTTATATTAACAGTAGCTATAAGCCATTATATTTATGCACTATATTATGCAATGCACTATCTAATATTGAAGTATTATCTTCCTTTACAGACTCACTTAAAATTATAAGCCATGAATAAAATAGTTAAAGATAAGAATAAGCCTAAAGGTCCTATGTCAGCGTATGCTTGCTTTGTTCAAGTCATTCGAGAAGAACACAAAAAGAAGCATCCTGGTGAACAGATTGTATTTCGTGATTTTTCAAAGAAATGTGCAGAACGCTGGAATGTAAGTGGTGTATCTCTTTTTAATGATTAAAATAAAAACTTTAGCTTATGACACCAAAAGAGAAAAAACGCTTTGAAGATTTAGCTGCTATGGATAGAGAAAGATTTAATCGAGAAATGAATGATTATATTCCACCAGATGGTATGAAAAAAGGCAAGAAAAGGAAAGGTCCAAAAGATCCATCCGTTCCTACACGAGCTTGGTCCGCTTTCTTTTTCTTTTGTGATGAATTCCGTTCAAAAGTCAGAGAGAGTAATCCTGATTGGAAAGTTGCTGATGTCGCTAAAGAACTTGGCCGTCAATGGGAAAGTTGTCAAGATAAAGCTAAATATGAACTTTTAGCGCAAAAAGATAAGCAACGGTATGAAGAGGTAGGTTAAAGCATCTGTTTTTTGTGGTTCAACACCACATACACTTGCCTTCCTTTAGGATATGATAAAATATCGAGCAGGCACGTATGTACCAAAAAAGAGAGTTGCAGGATCTGTTTCAAATTCCACGGCAGTTGGTGCATCGGAATCTCAAAATCCAGATTGTAGTACAGTGACAAGTGTTGGTGGTGGTGATGAGAATGGTGCAGAACTCGAGGATGAAGAGGACGGAGAAGCTGATGAAGGAGAAGAAGAGTGAACAACAGAATAGTTGACTTTGTTTTGTTTGTTTCTCTCTTTTTGTTGAGTTCGTGACATATATTGTTTTTGATAACTCAGTTGTACAGGTTTTATTGCATTTAAAAATGTTCTAACTCCCCGAAACGATGCCAACAACAACAACAACCACTTCGATGAAACCCTATAACGTTTCAATTCCTTCCTATATACTTTGTATACATTCGATTTGTTATTGTTTTTCTCTTACTATTATATTTTTGTGTCATATATATATACACACTGTGAGTTTATGTACATCAACAAACAGTTGTGTTTTAAATTCCTCTCTTATTATGTAATTGGAGATTCTAATATCTAATCTATTATGGTTACTATTATTATTACTATTACTACCAGTGTTATTGTTCATTTCTTGATTGTTAAGTTATTGTAAGTTTGAAAATGTTACTGTTATTATACAAGTGGTTTTGCCTTTTGCTTTGGTATTGCTTGTCATTGTAAGCTGAAATGATGTTTGTGGAGTATGTTATGCGTTGAGTGGTTTTCGTTGCGAAGTTTGGGTGGTACTTGCACGTCTCTGCTGTTTGTCAATGCTTGTGAGAGACCTGTCATTGTCGTTCTGAAGATAGTGTATTAGCTTAGGCCCATTCTGTTCGCCCCAATGTTAGCTAGTGGTGGTCAAACCAAAACATGGCTTCATCAGTCAATGAATTCTATAACAGTTAGTTCATGACAGTCATCCAACAGTGTAGGGAGTTGTGGACTTCCTGCTCAGGGTCCTTGAGATTCTAAGAACCAACGGTTGGAGACAGTTGATGGATATGGCTGCAAGTTGTTCTAAGCACCACAGACGAAGTCACTCCTTTTGATTTTTCATATATCACAAGACTTTATGGTTCTGCTGGATTACTACTGGTTCCCCCTCATTCACACAGTATGACAACTGGAACTGCTGCTTATCTGTGCAAACTTTCATGTTGAACCCAGTTACTTGAGATAGGCTTGTACACTGTTGAGCATTTCTCCAACATCCCTATGGTATCTTGAAGTTCATACCACTTTGAGCTGTTGCCATTCTATCGCCCTGCGTAGGTTGGTCGTTCTGATGTCTAATCCTACTAAATCTATAGTTCTAGTGAGAAATGGTGTATTGCTTCAGAAAACTGAGGAAATTCAGGTGAGGTAAGGATGGTAGGCTCTGGTGACCTGTGTTAACCCTTGCAAAATGTACTTCTTTAGTGATCTAACTTCTCTTTGAAAGCCTTCATCGATGGATCCGATACTACTGAATCAGGTAAGGAGTTCCAGTCATTGACCACTCTGTGAGGGAATCTGAATCCCGCATGTATTTCTAGTCACCTGTCTTCCTTCGGTATGATAACGGGAAAGATTTAAATGCTCCATTCTATTGTCATAAGGAAGGTGTGAGATACCACCACCTAATTTGGTTCCTACCCGTTGAACTCTTCCTAAGATATGTCACTCCTTCTTGAAGCATGGACTAACCGCTTGTATGTGGCATTCTAGATGAGGCCTGACATATGTTGCGTAGAGTACTTTGAACATAGACTCGAATCGTTTTGAAATGCCAGACTCTAGGAATATCTGTCTAACCTAACCTTACGCTATAGTGTCTATGCACATAAGCTGATTTTGTGATGTTAACTTTTATTCTGCATGTCTAAGTCGAGTAAGTGTGATAGCATTAGAAATTCTAGAGACCTCAGTACTTCTACAGGCAGGCTAGGGACTCTGTATGAATTCCTTTGCGCCAGAAGAGCTGGACGTCCTAGAACACCTCTGACTCATGGAGACGTGACTAGAGTTTTGTTTCCAAAATTATAAATACACAATACCACCGAGTATACCTAAGAGTTTGATGCTCATATCCACCTGAATCCATAGAAGTAGCTCATTGTCTGAATCACTTCACTTACAGTCAATTCATTCGCGCGTTTCTAGTCCAACTCTACCTACTTCAATCTGGATGACACCATCAGCTTTCGCCTAATGTGTATGGTACATAGACTGACGCGTCGAAATCTTATTCCAGAAAGATGAGTTCAGACGGTAGCTTGAAACATCATTAAGAGAGATTCTAGATTTTATACGATGTCGAATTCTGTGATGAATCCCACATGTCTCTATACATAAAATAAAGCTAAAGACGTGTCATATAGAAACGATTCGAAATTACTCCATAGCCTTTGAGATGAACAGACAAGCTTGTAGCTCAGTCGTTAATTCACTCAACTTTCAGCAACACTGTAATGTTGTTTCAACTAAACTCACTCCACCTACCGTGTCTTAGCTTGCTAGTTATATAATGTCATCGTCCCTCATGTACACACAAAATTGTTGGTGTGAGGCACGTTAGTGACTAACTCCATTGGAAAGCGAAGCTAGTTGTGTTAGTAACTCTTTTATGCCAGTTAGAAACATATGTAACTTCGTTACTTGACTACACTTAACATTTCTCCTTGAATGATGAACTGACATTGTACAGGCTTTATCGCCAACTATGCTCAAAGGGTACAACTTATCTCTTTTCTATTCAATTTCACCATAGATGTACCAATCAACTTAACTGAAACTCACTTCAGAGACTTGTCACCATTAAGGGAACAATCTCGCTGACTTAGAATATACAGATGATATAGTCCTCTCTCCTAGGTGAAAACGCCAACAAAATACAGCTGAGTGTAATAGGGTGAGTAATATTGAGGTTAGGCATCGGTCGAGTGCTAGGTAAGGAGCGGAAGTCAATCGACGAGCTTGTGAAGCTACATCGACTGAGATAGTTAGGATAGGTGTTACGCACGCCTGACTAGCCATCGCCTTCCTCGACTGACGGGCGGTGTTAGATGATGACATAGAATGGATCAGGTTTGAAAAGAGTTAGTGTTGGTCAAACCAAAGCATGGCCTCATCAATCAATCAAATCCACACAGTTCGTTTGAGCCAGCCACGTATGAAGGTGTAGACTTCCTGGTTGGAGTAATCCGGACGGTAAAAACCAATGAAGGCTGGATACGCTTGGTTTGATATATCTCAAAGTTGTTCTCAATGGATAGGCTAAGATGCATACACTCCTTGTGACCTATAATTTCCAATGAAACTATATTTTTCTTCGTTATTACTATTCCTTTGTTTCACACCTCTGTTTACTGTCTCTATTATCATTCATTATGAGTAGTTAGAGGAGGCTATTGAGAAACTATGACGCCGATTCTGTTTGAGAGGCTGTGATGGTATTGACGTTTACGGATAGTATGAAGTATACTAACGCAAGATCGAATACCTACAACTTCTATAATATTCGTTCCGCGTAAACCAAAGGCAAAGCAAAAGGCACGATTTGATCGTGCGGATTATGAGATATATTTTGGAACCCCGAGATGATTGCTCAGCTGGCTAGTGATCGTGCACGAATGTGACACGACGGAGTACCAAATGGCGTGAATGCTTGACTGGAAGCCTTTAGCTAGACAAGTCGACTTAAACAGTGAGGGTAAGCATCCAATGCTCAGTGATGATTGCTGTGGTCAATAATTTTGGGGAATTATTTACCGCTACACTGTCTTTAAATCCTACCGATAGCTGCTACCTTGACGTGGTGGTCAGGCTTGCATATCTCAATGATCTAACAAGCTACACTGGCTGTTCCTGTAGATCCTACCGTGCCACGAAGGTTGTTAGGACAGAGATTAGACTAAAAGCAGTCACCGGAATAACGTAAAAATTTTTATTTTTTACACTATGCTGGGAGTCGGTGGGCGAAGTCGTACTGCCACTGGGGAACAGGGATGTAACAGCCGCAGTGAGGTGTTTCCCTCAGACAACCAACATGCCTGCCAGCTATGCTGCCCCTCCACTCTAGAGAGAGGGAATTAAACAAGGTCGACCCGAATTACCCTACGGTGGTCCGTGAGCGGCGGTAAGCTTACTAATATTGAACCAATCCCACAAATCATTTCATACAGGCCATGTGTGACGGCCGGCCTCAAGCATTTGTCCCTTTGGGCTCTATGGTCACACAACACTAACCCTCTTTCTGTTTCAGGTACCTGAATAATCAATTGACCTCCACGATGTGGGCAGCCGGGAAGTAACAACCGTCCACAAACTTCCAGCAGTAGTACACGAAGCCTCCCCGACAGACAGACTTTATATCCTCAAGTGTTTCAAAGACATTCCATGGTTATTGTATCGAATCACCCCCTCCTATTGCGTGATTCGATATAAGTGAGTAAAATTGAGATATCTCCTGATGTATCAGGCTATAGATGGGGCTTATTGTATGAGGTTTATTGGTAATACTGCTCAAGTTGAGATAGTTGGTGTCGGATTTGGATCTGAGACTAATTACACGAAAGTCAAGTGTTTCAGCATCTGAGCCACATTATCAAGGCAGAAGACATATTTATGGCGTAAAACCCTACCATCTCTCCCTTCACAAAACCATAAAGTCGCCTACTTTCCGATCACCCTTGACAGATGATCTGGAGACATGAAGTCAGGGGAACACCGCCAGATCACCTGGTAGGCTAAGCATTTCGTGATCGTTTAATTCCAAGCCAATAGCTGATCGGTCAACCAGCATCACTCATAAACTGAGGTTGTTGTGTCGAATGCCTGAGAGGTTTGCTGGAGAGTGGCGAACTAGAATAATAATAATAACTTGTTTTATTCCAAAACAGTACTTGTCATACAGAATGGAATTCTCAGCATTTCACTACAGTATTGCATCCAGTTTGTACATTAACTATAAATAAAATTCTACATAGATTAAGGAAATCTCAGTTCATTAGGATAACAACATATTGGCATGTGTTTGAAGTGTTTGAAGGTACTAGAAAAGTAGATGCTAGCATATTTACTGGCGTAAGCGGTAACAAAATGGTCGAGATATACAGAGTGTGAAAGAACGAAGAAGAATGTTTTAAATAGAGTTTGTAAGGATGAAAGAATCAAAGCAGCACATAACAGAGAAAAAAGAAAGAAAGAAAAGGAAACGAG